AAACATTTACGGGATTTACCAAGCCCGCGAACACCTGCTTTGCAGGCTAGAAAACGTTTTGTGCTAGTCCTCTTGCGCGCGTTTCTCTCGGTGACGTCACGGAAATCAAAAGCGTGCACAGAGGACTTGGGACTAGTCTGCGAAATGGTTAATTAGATACACATAAACACAGGACATGAAATATATGCTCTGCTGCACACGTGATAGTATTGCGATTTGAGTTATTGATATAAAATTACGAACGTTATTCAATGGTGCATAGTAGTTCGATCAAATAAGTACGAACTCTCGAGAGAAGAAATAATAAACGGTAAGCGTTTGAAAACTGTAATTTCTGCTTACTTTTGTGCATAAACGTAACTAAACGTGATCTTCCCCAAAACGAAATCGCGTACATATACTTATTATATTTAGCATGCAAGTCATTTGCCTTTTTTTGTCGATAATTCTTCCATTTTATTTTGTACTAGTAAATAACTACTGTACCAAATAGGGTACTGTACTTCTAGAGGCACTAAAGTGCACTAAAGTGTCATGACAGCAATGATTGTTTGCTAGCCACCATAACTAACGGTTCGATCAATTCGTCAGAGAGTTAGGATTGATTAGGGTAAAAAGTAGTAAAATTTGATCTTCAAACGAATGTGTTTGACAAGTGCTCGCATTTTATATCTACTGTATCTACTTTCAAAACAATGAAAGAGTAATTTTTCTATCTTTAGAATCTTCTGGTATAAAGAGAGCCCCATTTAAAGCAAACACGCAATATACCAGGTATGTTTTCTAAATAGTACTTAATAGCATTCCAAACCCTTGTCCATAATGTGTACATTAGTAATTTCTAACAAAACCATGGTTAATATAGAATATATTTCTTATTGCAATTAAACTTTATTTCTACAGTTCTGTGCACTGTGCTAAAGTGCCATACTCTAAAAACACTCTGGTTAAAATTTCTTGGTTAACCTAGACATAACACTATTTGGGTTAACCTGGTTATTTTATCTCACTTCCTGGCATAGTCTGGTTAATTTAACCAAGAATCTGGTGATACAGGTATTTGGCCAGAAGGTGCTTGTTACAATAACCAGTCTGAGACTATGTTAGGTGAGGTACATGTAAATAACTAGGGTTCACTGGTTATTTATCCACCTAAAATAGTCTGGTTAATTTAACCAGGAAGTCCTGGAAAAAAAGGTTAAAACAACCAGAATATTAAACCAGGGGTATTACCGTAAGTTAACACAAATAGAGTTATTTCTAGGTTAAGACAGGAAATTTTAACCAGAGTGTTTTAGAATGCCATTATTAATATTTCAAATCTGATGAAAAATTTTTGACAAACAAACTAAGTTAAACGGCAGAGACACAAATATAGTCCAAGAGTGTATCCTTCCATTCTTTTTCTTCTTGTCACTTTCTAATGCAAATCATTCTAAAGGTCGACATTCTAAAAGCCACAGAAAACAATATTTTCAGATGTGGGTGAATGCAGAGCATGCCAGTGAATTACACAATGCTACCCCCATTCTGGTTTATACTGGCCTCACTGCCAATAATTCATCAGTAAAATCCAGGCATGAACCATCCCCTCTTCCAGGCCATTGTGGAGCATTTGATAATTTACCTCCTCCCTGGGGTGGGTATTTGAAATCAAATGTTTGCCCAGGACTGGGCAACCTTAAAACCATTGGGCTTAATGCAAAAAGTTTTAGCTACAATATTGCATATTCTGCATAACATTTTCATAAGTGATGAAGAAACCTGGTTTGTTCATATGGACTCAATCAGTCTCAATGTCAATTCAGACAAACATTAATAAACCTGTTAACATTTTGTAACTCCTATAATCCTCTTTCAAAATTAATGTAATTCCCTGGGATGAGATTAGCAGTTATCTTGACAAAAATTGTTAAATTTGCAGGGGCACCCGGGGTGGGGACATTTGGATTTCACTGATGCATAACCTCCAGCTGTGGCTAAGGATGCAGAGAATCACACTCCTTGGGTGTGCAGTCTGTAACATGCAATCTTTTTCTTTACTCCCAATACAATATACTACATTTGCAGTTCTTGCAAGGCATTTAGTATAGTTTACAAGACACATGTAAACCTTAACAAAAAATATTAAGAAAATGACGGAAAAATTTACTACTAATTTTTAACTTCTGTTTTGCTTTCAATGCATGTTGTTCTTGTGTCGAAAATATAAAATTATGTATTGTATTTATTGTATTGGACTTTTGGATAGTCACTTACAGTAATAGTATGCTTTATATTTTTATACATCAATTTGAGTGTCAACTGTGCATCCAAATGACATGTTCTATGTTGTGCCAAATTGCAACTGAATCATAGTGTAACTGAGACTGAAAGCATTACCTCAGGGCTCGAAATAACGGCCCATCAACGATCGGCAGGAAATTGTTTTTGATCGGCAAATAAAAAATTTTGCCGTTCATCTTGATTGGCAAGAAATATATTTGACCATTGTCTGAAGAACATGCTTACCTGTACGCGGTAAAAGACAAATAAAAAAATATGAAACACATTCAAAAACATGCGAAAAACTCTTGTTTTAGTTGATACAAGTCATACGACAGGTCGCAATGCTATGAAGTATTGTCATCTCTTACTGTCGTTCCAATTGAAGTGTTGCTCAAATATTGATTCAATACATTACCTCGGGCTGACCAATTCATTTCATCAAGTTCCTCGAGATATTCATACACTTCCTAGTATAACTATAATTGTAAACTTCCTGTTGAATAGTTTGAGTGCACCAATCACCTTTGTTGTTTGTGCAACTAACCAATCATAAATAGAAAGGAAGTGACCAAAAATGATCAAATACTTGGAATTGGCTCTTTCACAGGAAGTGTATGAATATCTCGAGGAACTTGATCAAATGAATTGGTCAGCCTGAGGTAATGTATTGAATCAATATTTGAGCAACACTTCAATTGGAACGACAGTAACAGTCTGCAATCCGAACCACTGACAACGAACATCTTTGTCATAATGATTTCAAATTGATAGGATTTTTGAGTAGTACTTTTATTTTTAGTAGGTTTTTCTCTTTTAATATTAAATAATAAGTTTTAGTTCTTAATTGATAATGCTGCTGTGTTTCTTGCTTTTGTGTGAAAAAATACAATACTATAATTAAAACTAATTGAACTAAAATGTATTACTGTAATACATGTTAAATGTAGTTACACCATTGGTATTGTCAGTATTGTATATATAAGTCCACAAATGTCATAGATTTAATTATTTAAACTCGAATTTGAAGTGAAGTTAAACTTCCTGTTCAGATGTGTATTTAATGGCATATTTAGGAAATGAGGGCAAATGCTCCTGATCGGCCAAATTTTTATTTGATCGGCAAAAAGTCGTGATTGCCAATCACCGTGATCGGGAATGTTGGGAAACATTATTTCGAGCCCTGTTACCTATTAAGCTGCAATGCATCAGACTTGTCATTTTACTTTGTCTAACACCATCTTGATACTACTCATTAAGGGAAGAGTGTTCAGGCCTGGCCGTTTGAGGCGCGCGCCTCCGCACGCGCCTTGACTCCTTGAGACGCGCCTTTTAACGCACGCCTCGTTTGTTTTAAGAGTATGAAATCGCGCGTCTGGTTTTTTATTCAAAACGAATTTTTGCGGGAACAAATCCTCGCCATTTAGACTAGTTATAAAAGAATGACCGATTTAATGCTGATCAAAGGAATTGATAACTGCTGGTCGGCGAAGGAGTGTATGGAGATTCTTCAACGTGCATTAGAATTTTACATGGAGAAAAGACGCATTGCAAAGAATTGTTTTGTTCTACATAAATTTTTACTCAGTTTTGTGAATGTTATTCTAGTCTGTATAGCCAATAAGCGTAATTTTTACCGTTTTTTTAATCGCGCGCCTGACGTTAATATGGCGCGCGATATGCCGCGCGCCTGCCCAAATACTTACGGCCAGGCCTGAGTGTTGCGCACAAATGGGTTAAACAGGGCTTGAAATTTTCAGCACTATCCAGTGGAATACTGTCAATTTGAAATCATGGTATCCACCCAGAAATCAAGTATCCCACATTTGGATAATACAGTAGATATTCTAGTTAGCAATACATGTATGTGTCAAACAATGCAGTAAAGTTCAAAATGGTTTTCTTTTTTCGGGAGAAATCCCTGTGGGCGAGAACATAGATAACGAGTTATACTGTTATTCTAACAAGTTTCCAAACCATCTATTCTATTAACTATGCTAAATAACCAATTAATTGGTATAACCTAGATTGAACTTTAGCATTTATACATTTCTTTTTATCTTTAGCATTTATAAGTTTCAATTGTGACATCCACATCTGCAATTTTATAGCTTTTTAAAGCCTGAAAAAATCACGATCTGGTGGAAAGCTTGTGGATAGCTTGCTATCCAGCCTTCGTAAAACCAGCCCCTGTATTAAACTTAAAATCTGGTAACCCATGGATATCGGGATACTGCAAATTCCAAGCCCTGAATACCATATTCAACATTAGTATTCCATATTTTATCACAGTTGTTGACAACCTGCGCCTTTTTGAAGGCCATGTAAAGTCCGTAATGTAAAGATTGTAAACAACGCTTTGTTCACATTTTCGACTTTAGTTGTAAAATATGATTAGATATATATTATACTGAATTTTTAACACTCTTTTGGTTTGCTATGCTTGTAAATGAATACAGACTAGAGATTCAATTCAAGAAAGTTTCAGCAGACCTGTTCGAAATATTAATAACATTCCAATGGTCGGGACATTCTAATGGGCAGGTCCCAACCATTGGAATGCAGGCCTGTGCAGAACGTATGTGCAGAACAGATTTTACATGGTTTTTAAAGTCCCAAATCCTAACATTTTTTCCTTCATTTGGGTTTCCTGCTTCATCCCACATTCTACTTTGCTTGTAAACTCTATCCCAGAGATAGGTCAACATTTGCAATCGATCTGACAATAATATTTAAAATATATTTTATATTGAGGACTAAAACCTATGTGAATATAGGCAATCTTGTGTACTTTTAAGACTGTAAACTATACCTTTCTGAAGATATGCTGTAAACATACATGATAACACGTTTTGATCTTTTTGTGCATAAATATTGTAAAGATTTTTTTAATATTGAAACACTGAAATTGTATTAAAAATTAAGCAACGTTGGTTTTGCAGCACAATTTCCTTGTGTGAAATCTCCCACATGCATAAACTTTAATGCTTTATAGCTTTTTAGTCCTGGCATTATGCACCTATCAATGTTAAGCCCGGGGGGTAAGGGTGCGGGCAATGGGTGGGGATTTGACAAAAAATTTAAAAATTGGGTCAAATGCCCGCTGGTGGGGCATTCTAAGATAATCAAATGTTTCAAAACAGACGCACCCAGGGGTTAGATCGAGGCAAAATATTTTAATAATATTTAATAATATAAAAAGCCACAAAAAGCATCTGGGCATCTTAAATTTTAGCCCAAGAATCCAGACTGTGTAATGCAGTAGACTGGTGGTCGAAACGAAAACGGCGTTTTCTGAAACAGTTTTAATAGCAACAAAAGTTCAACAAGTTTAATTTGAACAAAATCCCACCACAACATAATAACTTTGTAAAATCAGGAATCACTTTAGTAACTTAAATAGCCAGCTTCCGTTATTGTGTTTACAGAATACAACTACACTGATACTGTGTGTGTACTTCCCTTTATAGCATGCAATTATTAAAGACCATGTAAAGTCCGTAACGTAAACAAGTCCTTTGTTTACATTTTGAACTGCTATATTTGTAAAATAAAACATATTAACTGAATATCTTAATCTAACACTTTTCCGGTTTGCTATTGTAAATGAATATAAACTAGAGTACGTTTCAATTCAAAAAAGTTCAAAAGATGCAAAATTTGGGCAATGTTTTATATATCTGCGGGTCCCCCTTTGTTATGAGCAGAACTGATACGCAGAACGGACTTGACATGGTCTTTAAACATCCGAAAAAGATAACAAATATATTACTTGTATTTAGAATGCGTAAGGAAACTGCACATTGTACTAAACACGTACGTATAAAGCTTTTAGTTCCTTTTCTCTTTATATAAGTTCAAAATAGATAGTATAGTAAATGAAAAAGCATTCGACAATGAATCATTATAGTACTGTTATTCGAACTCCCATGATTCAACACAGTCTAAGCATTGCCAATAACTAGGTACTTCAGTAGAAAAGACTCCAACACAAATCATGTGGTACCAGCAAGTGCAACTGTCACAACAAATCCAATCCACATCTGCATCAACAGACTCATCTTCCAAAGCCAAGGGGATAACTCTCTTGCATGTCTTACACAATTCTGTATCTTCGACTTCCCCATCTTCTTCTGCATCTTCTTCGTTTTTTTCTTCTTGTCTTTTACTCTTTTTTGACTTTCTACGTTTTCTTTGCTCACCTTTTCCCTCGTTCGATTGTTTCTGTTGCATCCTCTTAGCCTTTCTTGTCTCGGCAGCCTTTGCGATCCCTTTCTGACGATTTTCGTGAACCTTTTTCAAATGTTGAAACCACATTTCCGTCTCATCACGTGGTAACAAAACGTTTTCTGCAACTTCCAGCAGCTTACTTTCTTGCGGTACTTCATGGGTACGATTAAATTCTTCTAAAATTACTTTTGACGGTGGATCATAAGGAACCACTTTACCATCTCCTTTAGAAACTTCTTCCCATAGCTCATCTACTTTGCGATAATGTCCTGAACATTGTGCTTCACAGTCTTGGCATTCACTACGACCATAACATCTAGCTGGATCGGGAACAGGAACAGGAATAAACGACACAGGAGGGCCCTCTGGGTACCATTTGCACTCTTCCAACGGTACACCTTCCTTGCAAAGTGGATGAATGCAATTGTTTCTATAGCAGCAAGTAAGGTAGAAAATGTACTTTTGAGGAACATCTTTCCGCATATGGCGTTCTCGCAAATCCCATATTTGCTTTATCTGATTAAATTCATTTGGATGATCTTTCTCAAGCTTTTTTTTTGCTTTTTTCGTTCCTTTCAAGAATGTGATCAAGAATTTATTCTCAAGCTGCTGACTCGTGCTGTCTGCTCCTCGAAATAGGTGAATTTCAGTTCCAGCACATGGTGCTTTGTCAACCCTTGAACAGTAGACGTCAATAGCAGAATTTAAGTTTTCGTGATGTAATTTCTCATTGACCCTCCCACCGCTGCTCAGGCAAGACCCATTAAGCGTCGAAGGAATAAACAAATTTGCATGTGCCAGAGCCAAGCACCCATTCTGCAACTCTACTCTGTTCTTGTAACTTGCACCGCTGTTTCTTGATGTAACTAACAGGACTCGACTTTTGGATCTTATATGCCGCACCGTCCACCAGTATTGAACTTCTACGTGGGATGGTCCCTCGTCGTAGCTTCCATCCACTCGAACACACTCAATCTCCTTTCTTTTTCCAGTGACAGGATTTATAAATGCTGGGATTATTTCTTCATGTTGTTCTACCATTTTAAGGTCGGCAAAATGCTGCGCGGGATTTTTCTCAAAAAGTCCTGGCGCCTTTACAACACCTGCACAAATTTCACCTGTCGTTTTGGTACTCGGGAAGTTGTATGACGTAGTTTGAAGAACAGACGCGTATTTGTTGACATAGTCAGTTCTTGTTGTAAGGTGTTCACTGCCCTTCACACATAGCGTGGCGTGTTGCTTGTTGGTAGCCATAGTGTCCAACCTAAACCCAGCCTGGTCATCTCTTCCAATATTGATAATATTGCAACCATTTTCATGTTGAAGTTTATCTAACGCAGCGTACAAGGCAGCACTCCAGTGTTGGTCAGGATTATACCGAATAGTAAACCCCTTTCTAGCTCTCTTGCTTACAACTTTCGCTATTCCATGGTACCGAGCGGCAGACCTTCTTCTCTTGTTGCGAGCGCAACACAACTGAACTACACTACCATACGAGATTTTTCGATCATACTTATCTTCTAAGTGTTCTTTTATTCTCCTGAAAGTCGCCTTTTTCTTTATTTTCCGATTTCCATCAAATGTCAATATACCTGTTCTCCTCCACGCATCTGCCCCCGCACCGCATTCCTTTACAAACTGCTCTATTTCTTGCCCAATACCTGGACACTCTGAAATTATTCTTCCCACTTTTTTGCTTCGCCTTCTTTTCATTAAACGTGCTTCAGCCAGCCTTTTCTTCGTTTGTCTCACGCATTTACGTCGTATTGATGCTCTTTTTTTCTTAATCAATAGCTTTCCTCGTTGATCTAATACACTTTCAACTCCCTTAGCCCATATTTCGGCTTCACTAGATCCAGAGTCGGATATTATTTCGTCAGAAGAAAGTTCTTGTTCAGACCCATCTTCAAAATTTTGTTCTTCTGTATTGTCGGTATCCGTCTCACTCGCACTGTCCGTTTCATCACTTTCGCCACTCGTTTCATATACACCTAAGGACTGCAGCAATGCCTTTTCCTTAATCTTTGCAACATTTTCAATCGCATCTTTAATGGCACAAGCTTCTTCCATTGCTTTCTCAACCTTGGTTTTCCTTTCACTTAAACTAGAGAACCCGTAAATATCTTTCGCTTTTGTATTTGAGATCCCCGATGACTTTGCAATAGCATATTTCAAACGTTCGCGCTCACTTTCTGACTCAGCCAGGTTTAACAGTTTCTGAACTTCTTCTTTTGCCATTTCTTCGTGCATTTGTTTGTGCTTACATGTTTCTGCCATAAGGGACTGTATTATGTACAAGTTTGCTGGCCGCAGCTTATTGAGTAGATACAAGCAAAATGTTTTTTGTTTAAGCGTTCCTACTCCAACAACTGCAAGAGGCATTTGTAACAATTTTCTGCGAGCATGAAACGATTTATACTTAATGTTTGGACTACATAACTTGAACGCGTCTGCAAGCTTTAAAAATCCTTTCTTGATAATTTCTTCGGCTACACTAATAGTTCCTTTACATTTACAACACGGCTTCTTGTGATTACTATTACATATAACTGACAAGGCGCGCACATATTCATTAAGTGTAAGTCCTTCAAATCTTGAAATGTAAACGTTTTCTTTAAGAGTTTCGTGGTTTGATAAACAACGTTTCTGTTGCTCCAAGTAAATATGTACAAGTTCATTGTCCCCTCTCCCGGAAGAGGGGTTATTTAAAAAGGTTGGGTTGAGAGAATAGGGCTTGACGGTGGTGACCCTATTAATATAGTATCAGCGCTTGCACCAGAATGCGAACTTGATCCACAGTCAACGTCTTCTGTATTAAGAACGCTATCGTTCGAATCAGGATTTTGGGTATTAGCTTCTGAATCGTCTGGCAAATCGATAACAATCGAGACAGGATTATTAGGTTGTAGTTGTTGTGATTTATCAGGCTGCAACATAACGTCGTCATCACGGTTACCTGCATCTTCAGTGTGATCTTTGAAGAATCTGGACAAATCTGACCCCTTCTTTATTTTTGGTGGAGGTGAGCTGAGCGTTTCTTGACTTTTGATAGATTTTCGTTTGTGGTACCACTTCGACTTTTCTTCCATTTTCTTGAGGGCTGCTAGCTGTTTCTCACATTCACGTTTTTCCCGTAAAAGGGCTCTTACATCGCCAATTAGTTGGTCGCATAGCTTGAAATCTTTCACCGACTTAGCTTTTTCCATTCTATTCTCTTTCATTCGTATTTGGCTTTCAACATTGGTCAACATTGTTTCGATGTGCTTTATCTCATTCTGTCTTTCCTCTTTGTTTATTTTAGCTCTTTTGTTTCCATCATCACTACTGTTGTCACTTGCACTCTTCGATCTTGAAAAACCCTTCTTAAATTTATATCCACTCTCCCTAACATTTTCTTTTGCCTGTTTATAAAGCTTGCCTGAAACAAAAATAACACTGATTTTTCAACTTTTTGTCCTTTCAAGTTGACTGGTTGCCCTGTAAAACCTTGGAATACACAAGCAAAAATGGATCAGGTTGTCACAATAGTGTTCAATGAACAATGTTGTAACAATAATGTTAACATGGTTGAACAAGCATTGTTCACATGATAATAATGATGTTCTACATTGTTTCAACAATATTGTTAGGGTGCAGCACAATATTGTTTAATGTTGTTGACAACGTGCAACAACCTGAGCGTTTTTACACGTGTATAACTGAAGCAAGTACAATAAACCCCTGCATAAAAGAAGCACTGTTTTTTACTTCGAGCTGAACTGGTTCTAATTATAAAAGGGAAAATCTCCCTCCTACATGTAGATATACCTCTGTCCAACAAGGCAGCTGAGTCTTGCAATGCAATGTGTACAGCTGCATCATTAACAGCTTCTTCATACTCTGTCTTTGGATTCTTATATATCTTTGCTTTCTCAACTACATTTATATTGTCACTTCCTTCTCCACTAGACATTTCCTAGTTAAAATTTAAAGGGAAACAATAAAATTGACAATCAGCCATTTCCCAAAGTCCTGGGTCTAGTCGCGTTTGGAGGGACAAGAAATATGGAAGCACACATTTAAATTAAATGTTCAATGTAAAAAGAAGATGTTTCACTTTTGGTCATGTAAGAAGTTGATATTTGCAATTGATAGTAGATACTTCAAATCTTTCAATATTTGATGCCTGTCACCATATTTTTAGTCCCCCTAAACAATCGCAGAATGCACTGTGATCTTTTTTGGGAAAAGACTAATTGATTTAATAATTTAATTAGCATATTGATTTTATAAATAATAATCTGAAAAAGCAATATTTACACCAAAACATATTTACCTGTTCAGATGGGTTTCTTAATTGAAGACGACCTCCCTCCAATGTTAACCGGCGCTGCTGGGAGTGAAATATAGGTTCTGTTTGGAGTCTCGATGTGGTGCTTTCACCATGCATCAACACAAAGCATGTATTGGCTGGAATTGAACTGAAAACCTCTTCATCATCAATAATTGATTCGTCTTCAAGCATGACCTTAATTTCCTCAGGTTTACATTTTAAAGACAGTTTTGTTTGTCCTAAAAACCAAGTACGGTAAATAATAAAATTAATTTACAGACAGTTATATATACTTTTATATAACTTCTTATTTTTGAAAAGCCATATGGTTTCTAGAAGTTCCTAACCTGGCTTGTAAATATAAAAATTATTAAAATGTATTAAAGATGGAGTACACATTGCACTATACTTATAGAAACTTACACTAGAATTGCGCAATTACGCGCCAAACACTGTGAATAATTAACTAGTGAGATTTTTAAATTGGCAACAATCTAACTTGAATAAGACTGAGATTAATTGAGCTTTTGATAAATGTGTGCATGAATTATATTTGTTATTTTTTTAACTTGTAAGTTACAACAAGCCATTTTAGTTTGTAAAGTTTAAAGTGGAAGTCAAGTCCGTATGTAAACAAACAGTTTGTTTACATTTTGAACTGCTGTATTTTTTAAAATATGATGTACTGTCTGAATATCTAACACCATTTTGGTTCGCTATGCTTCTAAATGAATATGAAATAGAGTTTATGTTCAGAAAAATTCGAAACATTCGAAATTTGGGCAATGTTTACATTAGAGGGTCCTCACATTGTTATGAGCAGAACCGATGCGCAGAGCAGACTTGACTTCCACTTTAATTATAAATTTACTATTTTTTGGGTTTGAGTTTGACAAAATTTGCTATTTTGGCAATTTTGTACCTTTAAAATTAATGAAATCCTTTGTATCGCTACAAAATCACAGCAAACTGCCTAATGAAATTTCAAGAAAATTTTAAGGAAAAAACGTATAGCCTACTATCTAAGGAATTTAGAGAAATTTTGATTTTGAAAATGGAAGCACTGAGCACGTCAAAAATAGGCGGCTGCTCGCACGCGCTCGCATGCAAGCAATTTTAATAAATATGTTTCGATAAAATTGTTTAGTATTTACCTTTATCTTTCAATTCTTGCAGACTACTTGCTGATACACAATACTTCTGACCGTTTAATATATCTTTAACTTTAAATATAGATGCCATATTTTCCAACAAAACTTTATATGTCACTACAGAAACGAATCAAAACCTTTCTATAAATACACTTATAAACATAAACCATGACTGTGCCACATTAAATTTTTTCGTGTTATAAATGGCTTGAAAGCTAGCAGTTTTTTTTCACCTCAATCATATTTATATATCTATATCAAGGTGTCGATTTCCTTTTATACAGTACGAAGTTATTTTAATATTCCATGTTTCTGCAAGGTGTAAACATTTGAATATTTAATACATTATTTATACATATTGATTATTGTCGATGCAATATGCAAATATAAAAACAATTGTATTTAATATACTTCACAAATTTGAAAATATTTTCGCTGGATGGATAGTAAACATCAAGGATATATTTCGATTCTACTCACCTGTTTTATATCAACAACTCGAATCAACGTTGTGCCCCAGACGACGACAAATTCCAAAACGCCAAAACAGACAGAAGCGGATGCGGAAATAAAAATAAAAGTTTCCGAACTTCCGGTTTTCTCGAATGTCGAATTACGTCGAAAAGCAAATCGCCCGCACCCGGGCAAAAAGTCTTTGTCAAATGCCCGTCTGTGGGGATAGAATTCACGGTCAAATCCCCACCCATTGCCCGCACCCTTACCCCCCGGGCTTAACATTGATAGGTGCATTAATCGCTATAAATACGTTAAGATAACATCATGTTTTTTGACGCCTTTTTGTTTTTCGAAATGGCAGGCCAAAGAGCGTTTCGCAAGAGGACATATTTTGCCTAAACTATTTGAGGAAATACACTGATTTAAACCAACTTCATTATTTATGCTTTAAAGCTTTCCGTAGTACAGTTTTCAGAAGCTGAGTGAAATAACATCTCTCCGTTGCAATAATTCCTCTAAGAATAGCGTTCCTAAAAAAAAGGTATACGAATAGGTGTTTTTTCACGCGGCTTCGGAAAGCTATCGATCCGTTACAGTATATAAACCCTTTGCTGGGTGAAATTATAATCAGGCAACGCCATATTGAGGAATTGAGGTGACTGCACTTGCGTAGTACTGTTTCAAAGCGTTTTTGGCACCATTGCAAACAGATAATTCCAGTATAGACTAAATTTTGATCTCGGCAAGAAGAACAAAATCCATCACCACTGCTTAGAAAGAGCATGTTAAAATTAGTATTTTAATAATTATAATATTTTCCGCATTTTACAACATTTCGCAGCCAAACTTTGCAATTTTAACATGCTCTTTCTAGCTGTCGTGTCACGATTTTGTTCTTCTTGCATAGATCAAGATTTAGTCTTTAGCTGGAGCCTGGAATCATCGATTGCAACTTTGACATGCGATCGAGCGATAATTAATACTTCGATTGGTTTTCTTTTTCGTATTTATAAAGAACAGACTTTTATCTGTCGAATGATATCTTTGTGGAATGATTGCGATAACTGAATGAGCAAATGCGATCTGATTTAATCGGTCGAATTCACATTTTCCCACCTTTGGGATTTATAAAATGTTCTTCCAAGTTACGAACATTTGCCTAAATTTCTGGCTATTTCAGATCGCAATGATACAAAGAAAGGTAGCATTCGACAGCTAAAAGCCCGATCGCTCTTGGTATGAAAAAAGTAAATTGATAAACGTAATATATATAATGCACAGGGTTGGCAAATGTTCTTATATTAGTTGTTCTTATATGTTCTTATATTATATAAGAATATTTTTTGGAAGGCAAAAATGTTCTTATATTTTCTTATATTATTCTCATTAATTATTCTACTTTGAAGTTGTAAATTTTAACTATTTGACATCCTGAAAATAAGATATACAGATAATAGTCGTATAAATACAGCAGTGATAACTATTTTTTATAATTTTGAAAGCCAGGACGTTACAGCAACATCTATGGATCCGTTCATTATTTATACCCGGGGTTGGTACCGAAGAGATATGGGTTGGGTAATCAAGTTTTTGACTAGCTCATGGGTTGGGTAAAAAAATTTGTGGCTGTCTGTCAGCTATAAAATAAAACCGAAATTACCATGCATTGGAAAATATGAAGAAAAATGTGCACAATACATTTTGTACCAAAGTAGACCATCAGTGATTGAGGAAGGACTCTATTATTGATCAGCAGGAACGTGGTTCCATTGGCACACTCAGTGAGTTTGAGTCTGAGTGAGCTTTTAAAATTTAGGCAACTTGATTTCTGTCACCATATAATCTTGTGTGTTTAATTATTATGAAGTACAGCAACACATGGGTTGGGTAAACATTATTTTGACCAATGTTGAGGTTGGGTAAATAAAAAAATTACAGTGTTTTTCGCTTCTCTTCGGTACCAACCCCAGGTATAAATAATGAACGGTCCCTTATTGTGGTGGTCTGTGATGGGCGTGTACAACCACGGTCCATCTGCGGCGTTAAAAATTCGTCTAGTCAAAGACGAACTTACGTGCGTAGAGAGATATGTATATTAGAGCGCTGCACCTTGTGCTGGATTTTTCGTAGTCGTTCCTGGTTAGGTCTTAAAATGTATATATTCTCACTTGGATTACAAACCCTAACATTCGTATATTAGAAATACCTGGCGAGCGCCAAAGAATCGCCCCATTTCGAGATAACCCAGTAAGCGAGATCTCGCCATGTAGTTTTATAGCAGAAACTACTTTGCGTTAATATATGGTGAACCAGGCTTCTAAGATTTCACTTGAAAACGGCGAGGTCTCTCTTACCAGGATAATAATTTCTTCATAAAAACACTCACTGAGCAGGCTGGGTGCCGGGATTGCGTTCCTCTTTAAAATACCCGTTCGTTTGAAACGTTGTTTTTTTTTCACTCGATTCGTTTCAACCGAAAGCAGACAAAGTAACGTTAGATGTATGAACAACAACAAGACTTGCACCAGTCAATTTTTATTCATTTTACAAAATTTACGAAGGACCAGCCTCCATCAACAAATATTTTAGTGTCTAATGTCGACATTGTTCCATGTTACACAAAAATAATCTTATAAAACTTGTGGTTTAAAAAGTGCTGATCGGAGTCTTTAGCCCCGTTTACACTACGCTCAATTTTTGGTACGGCACGGATAAAATTGGTACCCGTACTACTTTTTGGTTCTTGGACTACCTAAATAGGTAGTCCAACAACCAAAAAGTGGTACGGTACCAAAAATTGAGCGTAGTGTAAACGGGGCAAAGCTAAATAGGTAGTCCAAGAACCAAAAAAGTGGTATGGGTACCAATTTTGTCCGTGCCGTACCAAAAATTGAGCGTAGTGTAAACGGGGCTTTTGATACTCTTAATTATAAATCAAACTGTACTGCAATCAAATAAATTGATTTTATCGTCATGTTGACAATGTTGTTGTGATTGGTTATATCGCCATGTTGTTGTGATGTGATTGGGTTTATCATCCTGTTTTGCACAAAGTAGGATTGGTGAATGGTGAATGCAGATCGCCCCATACACTTAATTCGCCTCCTTCTGGTGAGATCACTGCTCAATCATCCTGCAACTACCAACTTCGAGTCTTCGACAATCTCGAGGATCTTCACCTCCACCCTCACAGCCAGAACAATGTGTTAGGTTCCGTTCTTGTGTTTCCATCAATCTTCGCACTCCATTGCTGAGTCTTTTTCCAGGATTTTTCAAATGGTCTCACGTATCTTTGATGTAGACAATGTTGTCAGCGCTGAACACCATGCCAGTTGAGTTATTCTTGAAATACACCCAATTATAACCTGGAACACATCAAGTCTTGGTTAACTATAAGTTCGGTGGCACAGTAGTTAGTGCGCGTAGCCGGAGTATCAAGCCAGTTTTGCGCATCTGACTTTCATGAACCTCTGTAACAGGAGTTCCATGCAGTTACCTGATTATAATTTCACTTCAGTCACATTTGTGAAGAGAGCTCTTCCCAAGTTCGATTCTACCAAACATCACAGCTAGGCAGGGCAGGAAAAAAGAATTTTCTTCCTGGGAGCACAACCTGGAGACAAAAATTTCCTGCAGACCAACCGTGTATTTTTGTGCTAAATATGTACATAAACATATAGTGTTCTAGCTGACCATGGTTTTAAATTCAAGGAATAATGTCTGTCAATCATATGTTGTTGCGCCCATAGTGAGACAATAGCAAATCTTCATTCAAACGAATTTCCTGCAGCTGTTTAACATTTCCTGCGAGCAGTGCTCGCCTATTTTTCCACCCCTGATCACAAGTCTTCTCCAGACCAATAAGGGATTGTATTCAACTTCTATGGAGAACACTGTACAACAGTTAATTTAAAGCTATCCAGTATAAATAAAGTTAGTTTGGTCAGGTTTCCTCCTGTAGTAACACTGGATCAATAAGAGATGATCCTTACTGGACCTCTAGGAAGAACAGTTTAGAACTGATAGAGCTATATCCAGTGTAAATAAAGTTAGTTTAGTTTAGGTTTCCTCCTGTAGTAACACTGGATCAATAAGAGATGATCCTTACTGGACATCAAGGAAGAACAGTTTAGAACTGATAGAGCTATCCAGTATAAATAAAGTTAGTTTAGTTTATGTTTCCTCCTGTAGTAACACTGGATCAATAAGAGATGATTAATCTTACTTGACGTCAAGGAAGAACAGTTTAGAACCGATAGAGCTATATCCAGTGTAAATAAAGTTAGTTTGGTAAGGTTTCCTCCTGTAGTAACACTGGATCAATAAGAGATGACCCTTACTGGACCTCTAGAGAGAACACTTTAGAACTGATAGAGCTATTCAGTACGAGTTTAGCACAAATTATTTGAGGATTTTAACAAAGGTTACCTATCCATGTCTTCTCATATGACAGAACAAAAGCTTTGCACTCAAAATCACCATCACATTGTCTCATAGCCTCAACTTCGTCAAATACCAGAGCCTGACAGTTGACCAATGAGATTGAATGGCCACATTCGTAGTCATGACAACCTGGGAAATCTGCGCGAGGTATCGCTTTGTACTGGTAACGAGGTCTGTACTTCTCTGAAATGAAAATATAAAATGAGCAAGTATTAGATGGTAAAGGATAAATTAGGATAGTAAAGTATAAGAAAGTATGGTACCATACCTAATCCCTGACCATTCCTTAACGTCCCTAACACTCTCTCGAGGTCGCTCACCAAGTCTTTACTATTGTACTTCAACAAGGCAGCCTGGGTTTCAATGTTCTCCAAATCTTCCACCACATGCTCTGGCGCCCCCGGCAGGAGAAACATTTTGAAATAAAACCTCTCTAGATTATACAGGTTCCATTTTTCATTATAACCCTGACATACGTTGTTAACACATGGTAAGGTGATGTTGTATGTCTGGTTACCAATTACACAATCATGGTTTGAATGACAAGAATGTCCTTCGTTGCCAATATCGTCAAGGTCTGAGAGTTTAATATCGTTGTCAATAATGACAAATTGTATTAACTGAAAATCACGAATAACCAATGAACCAAGGGGAGAAACACTGAAGTATTTCATAAGTCTTGCAAGGCCAACTGCGATCTGAAATAATGAAAGATTTCAATCAGTTGATGATTCATTGGCACTAGACTTTGGAGACCAGGGTTTGAGCTGTGTGTGTGGTAGTCTTGTATTTGGAGACAAAAATATATTAATTAAATAATTTGGAGATGCTGTATACGTTAGTATCCCTACATACCCTAAACCGTTGATGCCACGCCATCTGTAAGACAGTCATAAGATTCAGCGGAGTTCCCAGTTCAGTAACAACTGTCAATCCTCGACTTTGGATGTCTGTCGTGTCTTGGTCGTTTTGAAAACAGTAACCTAACAACTAAACAATCAAAGAAATACGATAAGCTTGAACCAAACTGGATGATTAATCTTTAACCTAAACTAAACTTTACTGTACCACCTTTTGCTCCACCTATTAAACTGTGGTACCACCCACCAGCACCCATGAGAGATTGATGATGCACATGTGATTATGGAATGCCATATCGCAATTATGTTAATTTGTCAATCACTGCAAAGCACTTTAGACATTTTTTAATACCAGTGTATATTTACTTTGCAGTTTGCACTTAATCCTGAGATTAGTTTTATTAAATGTTTACTCCTCAACCGGCGTCGTGTAAAGCTCCCGTTTTCCACTTCAACCGTCTCGTACCGTCCGTAGAAGTCACCCCATAGTAGGCATAGTGCTCAGAAAACAAAGACGTATACGTGCGGTTTGGCACGATATACTTGAAATAGAATATAGGTTTACATTCTAGTTAAATCCAAAATTCTATCACTGTAAACTAGTGTATAAAAACATAGTGAATACGTTTCAAATGTATCCAAGCTTTATATATTTTAGCTTCCTCATAAAAAAGTTTAATTTTGCCCGAGATTTTGTTGCCTTTGGTATTGTCGCCTAAATTATCATCAAAAATATTTTTATTTCATGATATGTTGAAATTCCCACACCAATTCGGTTACTTTGACAAGTTTAACCCTTCGTCAATAATTTTCCTTGTTTCAAAAACACCCTGGGGGTTTTCCAAAACGTTTATCAACGAGGTATTCAAATGATTTATTAATCTGAGCCATCATTGTTTGCAAATGGCTGTCAAGGTCGTCTCGCGCAAGATCTACACAGCTGAATTGAAGAATGCTGCATTGATAAGGCGCGGAAACGTGAAATCCATTATGAAATCTAAACATTGTTATCAGTGCACACGGGAAATTTAATATCTTTCACGGTTTTAAGTGTATTTTGTCTAGAATTGACGGAATTTCAATTCTCACGTTGTGTACGCGTGTGCGCGTGATCGTTTTACTGTTAACATGTTGCAAAATGCATTCATTTCATAACCGTGAATGCGCTTGTATATCTCGTACAAAATCCTGTTGATTTACAAAAATATGAATTCATTTTTCTCACCAAACAGGCAAATACTGTCATTCATGTCTTCAAGATTTATATTGAAGAATACGAATGTTTTCATCAAGACGAATCACAAGCTATATAAAGCATTCGTGAATGACACGCGAAAGTAGTAATGACGCTATATATACTGCATTCGTGTCAATGTTGTACGAAATATACAACCACTTGCCTTCGGCTCCCGGGACTCGAGTTAAACTTTTCGGTGCGTATACGCAGGATGAAAAACGCATCTCTGGAAAGCAGGCTTTGTGCTTAATGTTTTTCAATTATGTTTAAAACGAAGAACAAATAGCGTCATTTAAAGGCAAATTGTTCTCATTGTTGGCGTGATTGTGATAATGAGCGTGTCAATATGGCCATTCATGCGTTCGTAAACGCCCAAAAAGAGACATTTATTAAACCACAGGAAATTAAGTCTAATAAAATGTATATTATATACTTAACGCTTTAATTGCTGGTGCTTTTTCCCATAGGATAATGAATGATTTAATATTAAAATGAACGGAATTTCTAAAATTAAATGCAAAAAACACAACTTTAAATTTCACAAAAGGATTGTTATCCATCTGACGGATTGTTATCCATTTTACAGCTTGGATTGAATTGTCTTCCAAGCTTCGTAAAATCAAATGCGAAGTTCCAGAATTCGCGTTTTTTATGCCAATTATTCGATAAGCCAGTGCCTAATTTAATCTGGCTGCAAGCGTATATCGTGTTAAGTGGCATGTATGAATGTCCCACATCTGGTAGGTTTCACAAAGCACTATCGCGCAGCAGATGGGGGTCAACCTGCAGTTATCAGAGTGAGAAAATAATGTTCATTCTTTTCATTATATGTTGTAGTCTTGTACTTTGAGGCAAGGGAATCGAATTGAAGGATGTAGTTCAATTTTCTTGCTCCGAAAGTATCAACATTTGTGAAGTTGAGCACCATCTGTTGCCGTGTATAAACACATACTGTGATACTGGGACTCACTGATACTCTTCCAAATGTCAGTAATGGAAGGTACCCAAATGCTTCGTCATTATATGCTCATGAAATTTATCCATATGGATCTAGCGTTGTAGATAAAACGTATTTCGTTTTGATGGTGTTAAAATTTGAAACGGAAATGGTGAATTCCTTGGCTAGACATTATCGAAGGTATGCCGAGTTACATTTAACAGATGGCAAAGGAAGAAACTCTAATGTGAAAGTATAAAATAAGCTATTTCACATTGGTTATAAAAATAATTGGTATAGGTTTTAGTAAGCGTTACACAGGGCAGCAGATGGTTGGTAAACTAAGAAATATTCACGCTTAAAGAAGCTAGAAAATTAATCTTCATCAATCTCAATTTTATTTATTGCACTCATATCTGTAATTCTAGTCTAGGTAGTATTCGTGGTTTGTGTCTGAAGTCTGAACTACCTTAAGAAGATATCTCAAACCGTGTAGATCCAATGTAGGTATTCTACAATAAGCTGCCGTGGTTTGTGTCTGAACTGCCTGAAGAAGATATCTCAAACGTGGTGGTCCAGTGTAGGTATAGTAATCTACAATAAGCTGCCGTGGTTTGTGTCTGAACTACCTGAAGATATCTCAAACGCGGTGGTCCAGTGTAGGTAGTATTCTACAATAAACTGTCATGATTTGTGTCTGAACTATCTGAAAAACGAAATCGAGAGAAAGTCCTGTTAATCACGACGCTTTCGTTCGAAGTGTCGAAGTATTTTACATCCATAAACTCCAGCAGCTCGTTAAATGGAGTTAACATGCAGATATTAAAGCACAGAGATTATCGCGATAGGAGACTAATAGTTGCACAATTAGTGAATTAGAAACCTATTGTGATATATGATTTACATATTATCAGCAAATTATATCCTGTTTAGAACTGAGATGAATGAAAAGGAAATGAGGACAAATTGCCAAAAATTTACAATGTAAACGAAACATGTTCTGAGTTAACGCGACGTTTTAATAAGACTTCATCAAAGGAAATTGACAGAATGGAAAAAGTTTAAATCGTTTCTTAAACTATGCCTGACTTGTTTTATCAAAACTTTTACCACATAAATTACGACTTTACAGAACTAAACGAAAAAGCGCTAGAATGTTTATTTGCGAGAAATTATGACGCATGTTTTTCTCTTGCCAAGAGCCAGTCCGTTGCCAGCTGCCGATATTAACTAGGAAATTTGCTTGTGTAGATTTTCCCTTACCAACAAGCAATGCCCATATTCTTGCCAGTCAAGGGAATCTCGTTTACGCGGACAAAAAAAAGTAAGGAGACAATAATCTTTAATTTTCCTGCATGAGTGGAAACTAGCCTTAAGTAGTATTCCTAGCCTTAAGTAGTATTCCACGTTTCTGAACGAAGGCCAAGCATCAGTACAGGTTTACAGTGACCACCTCCTCAGGACAAATGGCCTTCGCTCGTGTTTTGAATCTGTTCATGTACTTTAGACACAAACCACGGCGGTATATTGAACAACTTACTTTAACGACATTAGGATGATTCAACTGCTGGTAGAGCAACAGTTCCTTCATGACTTTATATCTTGAAAACAGTAAGCAATCCGCAGCCAACTTCGCCCGTTTCTCACTCACACAATTGCGAAGATCGGTAGAATCCAATCCAACACTTTTCACAGCGACATCGCGGCCATTGTACACTCCACGTTGAGTTAATTTGGTGTAACCTCTTCCTAACTCTTCTTTTATTTCAATCTGTGATATTTCTCTACAACTCAGCGCAGTATCACGAAACAAGGCTGCAGTTTCCTGGGAAGGATAAATATCTCTTTCATAGTCTTTTCGACCTGACCGAAGTGATTCACCGGTGATGTATTTAAGACTCCGTTCCTGCCATGATCGAACAAGCCCAGCAGGACTACGTGGAATTCCTTTAAAGGAACCCAAATTCGCGAGTACTTTAATAGTTCTTTTTAGTTCTGCGTTTTCAGCTTTAATAACCTGGATGTATTCATGTCTTTGTTCTTTCAACGAATTGAGGTGACCCGATCTGTCTGTCGGAGGTCCAAAATTCGCGAGTCTATTTACAGTCCTTTGAAGCTGAAGATTCTCAGCTAACATCTCTCGGATGCTTCCTGGATCTTGGCTGTCCTGCTGATTTGCAGGGTGGGACTTTAATAGCGTTTCATAACTCTCTATATTGTCTTTATTCCCTCCGCGGCACGCGAGTGAATCACGGTGGTCTTCTAAGTAATACAAGCTCAAAAACACGCACATAAAACAAACTATACAAGCAACAGAGCAAGCTAGCCACAACATCCGTTCTGGGAGGCGTCTATATCGACTCCACAAACGATGGAACATTGCGAATGTATGTCAAGAGAGCCTCTCGAATGAAGCGCCAACACACGCGAGTATCTAAACACGACTACATCGCAAGCAAACATTATTTTGATATGACACTCGCTGAATTATTACCCTCTCACGTGACATGAAAATTAATTACGATGTTAATTGTTACTACCCACGAAAGTGATGATAAATGTCAAACACGTTGTCTGATCAAATTTGTTTAGTTTGTAGATTAGATCTTAAAAGGCGTGGAATTAACACCTCAGACGTGTTGGCTCAATATCACGCTAGTATGCATCTGGGATGGTTTATTCTCTCGTATCACAGTTCATAGAATACATGGTTTGGAGACTCGATGAAAGTACAATATAACTCATTAACTATGTTGGTTTCGGTTTATGCAAGAATTTGGGCCTATCTCGTCACGTGTGTATTGTATTTTTCCCGCACAACCAATAGCAATGTTTAAATTGAGCATTTGTTCAAGTTACGGATGGATATTAAACTCAACCACAAACTTGTTATTGGTTATTTGAGCGAAAATACAATACACACGTGACGAGATAGGACCAAATTCTTGCATAAAGCTGGACAATAACATAGTTAATGAGTTATATTGTACTTTCATCGAGTCTCCAAACCATCTATTAAAATAACTGTGCTCGTATCACGTATATGTATCTTCACATTGAGAATTAAAAGACACGTTTCACACTTTCATGTGATCGTGACGAATATCATTATTTTTTAAATTGTAAAAATTACAAGTTGAAAAATCTCAAAGAAAATTGCTTAAAGAGATACTGGAAATTGATAGTTGTTTTAGTTTACTATAGGTAAAAACGACCTGTTTCTTTATTGTATAGCCATGAATATGACAAGAGTTTAACAAATTGTGCAGCCAGATACATTTACGAGTTAACTAAGATTTTCCCTGACCGTACTGTTTGTAATTAAGGATTAGTTATAGTTTTGTTGTTTGTACCAGCAATGGTATATAATGATGCAATAAATATTATCTCATTATTTTCTGTGCATGCCGCTTCCATTCCTGCATGTAATATGCAGTTGCCTGAGTAGTTTAAGAAGTTTTAGCTCTCACGGAAACTTTGGAGAGGACAGTTTGGAACTAATGTATAGAAGCTTTCCTTAGGCTTAGCGATTAAAAAGCTCCGTGGATTAATACGGATATTCAATTCCTTGTTAACAATGGAAAACATACAGAGAAAAGCTTTGAACTATGAATACATGCGTGGCCACTGTTCATATGGCATTATGGGCTGTTGATAAGACTCTATCCATTTATTGTCGTTTAGTTATTCAGCGAGAGTGTAGTTTGGAGAAAAGTCCGAGTTTTAACCTTTCCATTGCCGAGAAAATGTTCCGTAGCATCAAAAGTCCGGATGAAACGAGGACGAGAGTGCATGAGAGTTGACAGTCACGTGATCTTGGTTACTGAGCTGTTCTTAAGCTTTCCCAACACTATCATGTATTCAAGGCCAAAAAAAAATATGTGGGTTTCCGGTTTCTTCTTATAAAAACTTAGGTAGGGTAGGTCGGTTTTAACTTTTTTTTTAAACTTTTTTTTTTTAATTTTCCGAACAAGCGGGCGCCATTTTGTTTAGTTAGTGCTTCCACATCCAAAGATAAATTTCCCTAAATTGCCTCAAATTTCAATTTTCCACAAACTTTTTCCTCTAAGTGGAAACACTTACAAGCATGATCCAATAAAAAAGTTTAGGGTTGGGATTTCGACGTCCAAAAGCTAGGTAGGGTCGGGAAACCGGAAACCCACATATATTTTTTTTTGGCCCTATTGAAGTTAAAACATAGTTGGAACTTTCACCAAATCTTTATTTTGTTAATCTAGAGCTTGAAATGTCCCCTGTAACAATACGTAACTGACAACTCTCATCAATTCCAATCCTCGTGTGACCAGCGCGAGTCATTTACAGTCCTATTTCGCTTCACCGGCAAAGACGAATTTTCGGACAACTTGCATTCCCAAGTTCTTATTATGTTGTCCTGTTCAGTTCGTGGCTATCTTGCCGCAGTCTTACAGTCGCTAAACAGTCCTTAGTGTACCTTCCGCACGTCCATCAACTTGGGAGACCAAAAATCTTGACAGTTCCAGCATCGCGATCATGCTTCTCCTGAGCAAAAAACGAAGAAAAATTTGGTCTCCTTTTCAACGACAAGAACTTGTTTTCAGTCAAATTTTGTTAAGTTATGGAATGTGGTTTAATGCCAAATGTGGGGAAATAAGCTATCGTGGTTTGTGTCTGAACTACGTGAAAAAGATATCTCAAACGTGGTGGTCCAATGAAGCTGCCGTGGTTTGTGTCTGAACTCCAAGAAAAAGATTACAAACACATCACGTCCACTGACCTTATCGTCACAAGCGAAGGCTAAAATATGTTTCCTTGGATGCCAAGCTAACGTGAATGTCGGGGCTGTACAAGGAACGTCACATATCTTCTCGCCTGTCTCTACCATTGCCTGAAGAGGAAAACAGCAAGTATTTTAATGTCAGGAAGAAGATTCTATGGCCAAAAACAGCATTATGTCAGTACTTAATGTCCGTTTACGTTCAGTGCAATTCTTGCTGCGATTTCTAGTGCGTTTTTCTTCTTGTGATGGATGTAAACGAGTGGATGTGTTATGAATGTTCTGAGTTTATGTACGCTCATATAAACATTCATAACTCATCCACTCGTTCACATCCATCAGAAGAAGAAAATTACACCTAGAGTCGCAGCAAAAATTGCAAGTGGAAACACGTCCTTACAATGTCAATAAGGAGATCTTCTGAGCCAGAGGCAATCATTTGTCCGTCGTGACTAAAACTCAGCGTGCGAACAGGCCAACTAGAAAATAAAGTAAAGCACGTCAGTCTGTGTGTAAACCAGGCATTGTTACAGTAAGTTATCAAGCGAATGTATAGCAAGTCTTCCTCGAGGTTTTAAACAAACTTACTCTAGTCTCGAGAACGTTCTAACACAAACGAGCTCGTCCAAGTCCCACAGACTTATGAGAGCATCTGCACTACCTGTTGCAAAATATCTGAAATAAAGCAAAACGCAAAACATTTCAACCTGTTGTCGCAAATCTATCTTGTAGGAAAACAGAGATATTTTCACGTTTGTAAAATATGTTATCACCCTATCCTCCTCTGCAGGCATCCCATAGTTCACCTTGGACTTAGAAAGTCGGCGAGACTTTTTTACCTGCAAGGCTGCAACCAAATTCTGCTCGCTAATCTAAAGGCGATACCTTTGGAGGAGGCTAACATTACCCACGTCAGTTTATGCAGTATTACGTACTTTCCAGTGGGGTCGAACTTTATACAGATGCAGTTCGCTGGATGAGCATGAAGTGTCTGTAATGGTTTCAATTCTGGATAACTAGGATAAAACAAAACAATTTTACAATACGTATATGTTTCACTAAAGCACTATCGTGCAGCAGATGATGGGTCAACCTGCAGTCATCAGAGTGAGGAAATAGGCAGCAAAGTCCAAAAATAAAAATTTCCTGAGTAAGTCAAATATAAAATTTCCTGCATATGTAGATTTCAGAGAACGTATGGTGCTGTGTGGTAAACGTCAATCTCGGCAAACAACAATTTCGACTTGCAAAACACTTTTGGAATTTTTAAACAATAAGTAAATGGCATTCCAGTATATAAGATGACAACAATTTCCTGCAAGGTCTAAGAAAATTTCCTTAGAAAATACCCAATACAAAAGCAAACCTCAAAATATTGATGAAGCCTTGTCCATTTGTCAAGAAAAACAAATTATTATCATTGTTCCAGGATATTTCGTTAACCTATTGGTGAGGAAAATGAAGAAATATTACGTTGTTGAAAAATTTAATTTTGCACAAGAAAAAAAGCGTAGTTACCTCAAACCGAAACTGTTCATCGCATTTTGGTTTGTATGTTTTTGCATCTACGAACGTTATAAGATCTTCCTAGTTGGAAAAAATAAGAACACTTCAATCACAATCACAGAGTTTCTGATTTTAAGGCTGTCCTCTACTCCCTAAGATGAACTCTCACAGAAAAAACACGGTCTATTTGTATGAAGCGTTATTTTACATAATTTTATCTGAATAACATAATTTGAATTTGAATATATTTACGTCATTTGTACCATATCCTTTTACAAGCAGACTTACACGAACGGAGTTTCGTGACTTTACAAAACGGAGTTTTAGCATTTGAAAACGGAGTTCTGGCATTTCAAAACGGTAGATCTGGCAATTGAAAACAGAGTTTGGCATTTGAAAGCGGAGTTCTGGTTTTTGAAAAGGGAGTTCTGGCATTTGAAAACTGAGTTTTGTCATTTGAAAAAGGAGTTCTGGCATTTCAAAACGGAGTTCTGGCATTTGAAAAGGGAGTTCTGATATTTGAAAAGGTAGTTATGGCATTTGAAAACGGAGCTCTGGCATTTGAAAAAAGGAGTTCTGGCATTTGAAAACGGAGTTCTGGCATTCGAAAACGAAGTTCTGGCATTTGAAAACGGAATCCTGGCATTTGAAAACGGTAGATTTGGCATTTGAAAACAGAGTTATGGCATTTGAAAACAGAGTTCTGGCTTTTGAAAAGGTAAGTTTGGATTTTAAAAACTCAGTTTTGGCATTTGAAAAGGGAGTTCTGGCATTTGAGAAGGTAGTTATGGTGTTATTCTTATTCGAATAAAAGAAACATATATTGAGTGTTAGCACAATAGAATTTAATGTGTACATGACATAAAATAGGTACTCAATGCGTATGTGGCATAAAAATAGGTTCATTAGCATACATTGCATAAAAGTAGGAACACAAATGCGTACGTGGCATAAAAATAGGTTCATCAGCGTACATTGCATAAAAGTAGTAACAAAAACGCGTACATGACATAAAAATAGGTGCACAAAGCGTGCAAGGTATACAGCATAAAAATAGGTTCACAACACGTACACAGGCATAAGAATAGGCACATAACAAATACATGACATAAAGTTTGGTATGAATGGGTAAGCAACATACTTTGTTTCCTACAGCAATCGTGTTTCCATCTGGACTCCAACAGATGTTTATATTTTCACCTTTAGTGTTGACAACATTCACACATTTACCAGCTGAAGAAGAACATTCAAATGGTTTTAGAGTCTAAACTTTCTTTATACTGGATAGCTCTATATCAGTTATAAACTGTTCTTCCTAGAGGTCCAGTTAGGATCATCTCTTATTGACCCAGTCTTACTACAGAACAAAACCTAAACTAACTAACTTTGTTTATACTGGATAGCTCTATCAGTTCTAAACTGTTCTTCCTAGAGACTCTGTAATGCCCTCTCTTATTCATGTACACTCTAGTCTTACTACAGAGGAGAATTACACACCAAACTATTTAGAGTAGATAGCTGTATCAGTCCTAAACTGCTACAGTAAGAGCCACCCAGTGTTACTACAGGAGGACCTCTAAACAAACATAATATTGCTGGAACTGATTATTTTTTATACATATAACGTACCTCTGGTGTCCCATATTCTGATGGTTTTGTCCCCTGATGCGGTCACTAGCATATCAGGATTGCTTGGATGCCAACACAATTGATCAACACTCTCTGTGTGACCTCTGTAGTTGGACTCTTTATTCTGAAAATCAAAATTAGAAACAAGTCAGTATTTCTAGGATTTATTAAAAGTACTATTAACATTCAAACCTAATCTTGGCATACATAAAACATCCCTGGTCCCAGAGGCAAAGGTTTATAAACCTTTACCAGGTAAATTAAACCTAACTATATTTGCAGCATACAAAACATGACTCATTATATTAAACAAAAAGCTCTTACAAATCCATATTTGTCCAAGGTATAAATACTGACAGATCTATCAAATGATCCTGACGCCAATCTACGACCATCACAGCTCCATGCAACTGAATGAACCTAGAAATGCATTTATACGAGAGGATTTATAGTCAACTTTGACATTTTTTGACCACGTGGTTTTAGAGTATAAATTAATATACATTACAACAGTTGAACAGTACAAAAATGAACCAACGTTCAACCCTAGTTCTCCTCACCTTAGAAGAATGTGCTTGGACTTCCCTTATTTTAGAATTCTGCTCAAAATGTCTTTGCATTTTTTGGAAATATGCTTCGGGACTTGATTTTTTTGAATCCATCTTGTTTTTGAGCAGGCGCTACATGTTCGCAGCAGTTTCTACCATTATACGGGGGGTTAGCTGGTGAGGAGAATTTTATTTTCCAAAATGGCCGCCTCATAGGAGTGAGAAAATTTAAAAATATGCAAAATTCGTAAATTAAAGTATTAAACGCGTTTTTTTCGTAGTTTTTGACGAGATTGAATACTTCTAAGTATGCTTTTACAAAGGGCGACTAACAGGGTACTGTCTTTGGGTAAAACAGTCACCCGAAGTCTTGCATTAGCAGGGGAAAATAAGCGATTTCTTCGCGAAAAATTCAAGAATTTGGGAGGAGGAGATGTGTTGCTTCGGAGGCTGGATTATCAAGGACATAACATAGCTGTAATAAGCTTAGCTAATCCTAAAAATAGAAACGCATTGAGTGGGAAAATGATGGTACAATTAGCCGAAATTGTAGACGAATTACAACAATGGTCTGAGGGCAAGGCGGTAATTTTAAGAGGAATCGAGAACACGTTTTGTTCTGGTGCTGATCTGGTTGTAGCTAGGAATATATTAACCCACGAAGAGGGAGAAATGATGTGTACTCTAATGCATGAGACTGTGCTTTGCTTCAAGTATTTACCACTTATTTCTGTAGCGGTGGCTGAAGGACAATCACTTGGGGGAGGGGCTGAGGCAAGTGTCGAGCATTTAAAACGTACAGACGTCTTGTGATGCATTGAAAATGGTGAAATTTGAATTTCACTAAATTGTGAAAACATATACTGTTTTCACAATTGATGTTAAAAAGATCTTAACATGATATTTGACAAGCGATAAAACAACAATATAGTTGATCATTAGCTTGAATTTTAGCTGACAACTGTAATATTTAAATATGTTTGAGGTAAAACCACGATTATTCATATTGAGTTTTTGGACGCTCTCTCTCTCTCTCTCTCTAATCTATAAATATATTTTAAACCAAAGAGCATCCAAAATCTCAACTGTAATATTGACAGCCCAAACCACATTAATCGATGTTAGATGACCCTCTTATAATCATTTGTGACAATATTTTCTCTAGCTCTTACTCAGTTGTGATTTTCGGCTTATGGCAAGTGACGCAGGTATGGCTTGTGTATTGTTTACACTGGACAGGAAGCCTTGCGTAGCGACGTGAAAAAACGCCTATCCGTACCTTTTAGGAACGCTCTTTTCAGAGGAATTATTGAAACGGAAAGATGTCGTTTCGCCCAGCTTCTGAAAGTTGTACATTTCGTATCGGATAGGTGGTTTTTGCGCCGCTACCGAAAGTTATCCAGTATAGTGCTAGCCTTAGACATTACGATGTCCACACGTTATCTGATGGTCATTTGTCCATGCCCTTCGGTAGGAAAGAATAAAATGTTTGCAATGTAAGACGTGTCATATTCTGCAGTGATCCAATTCGTTCAAGCAAGAATGGGCGTCACACCGGGCTGGGGAGGCGCAGCGCAGTTGGTCGATCTGGTTGGAAGACGAGAAGCGTTGAAAATCTTCGCTTCATCCAAGAAAATCCCTCCAGCGCAAGCATTGAAGATCGGACTTGTTGATGAAGTTATCCCAGAAGATACAGTAAGCAACTACCTTTTCAGTTTAGTTTTGGTCATGAAGTTTTTTTCTGAGAAAGCAAAAGTCGTTCTTAGGTTATGTTATCGCAGGGCCGTGGGTTCAATTCCTACCAGAGGACCTTGTGCTGCACTTTTCGCAGTCGTTCCTGGTTAGATCTTAAAATGTATATATTCTCACTTGGATTACAAACCCTAACATTCTAATAATAATTCCACCAAGTGAAGTGCAAGAATCTAAGTTATTTAGGTTATGTGTAACTACTGTATTAAATTTTTGGGTTCTGAATGATTGGAATATTTTTCTATCAGGACGATATTCAGAGTGTGGCATGTGATTGGTTGTTACCTTATTTAAAACCACCCCCAGCAGTGATACATGCCACGAAGAAATGCATCATGGGAAATGTGAAACCGTTGGAGGAAACGTTAGAACTTGAAAGGTACACTGTTTTAGCACAGCTTCCGTCTACTCAAATTCCCAACTCAAGGTTAAGTGTAACCATTCAGGGTTTCAGCATTAATGCACTTTTTATTTTCTTATTTTCAGGTCTATATTCAAGACAATGTGGTCTGGTGAGCATAATTTGAAAGCTTTGAAGAAAAATTTAAAACATAATAATTATAAATAGTAAATGTTTATTTAGTTTCATTATTTAGGTTAATTAAGCCTTTACACTGTGCGAGGCTGTTAAATCATTGAATATTTTTTTCTGAAAAATATGTATGTAATTTGTAGCTAATATTTAGTTAGTTTTCAATTTGAGTTACATTTAGATAATGTCTAGCTAAACATTAAAATGTATAAATAAATGGGGGAAATAATAAATTCTCTTATAAAATATGTTATCAGACAATTGCTTCACAACTTTCTAACAATCCAAAATTTCTCAGTCTTTCCTTTGCTAGTACAGACATTTTAGTGCCCCTTTAGTCTCCTTATGCAGAAAGTGTTAGAGAACTTTGCCCCACACATCCTTCATTGTAGCTCTTTATGTTTCATTCTCTACTCCTCCTGTTCCTCTGTATCCTCAGTGATACTATCCTGTCCAGAATCTGTTACAGGATTCTCTCTGTTCCGCCTGGCCACTTCAACACTGTACGGATGAACTGGAAGAATTCCAGCCTAAAACATTCACCAACTTTTAAACAAGGAAACATGTCAACAAAAATAACTGGAAATTTGTTATTTTCATGTAGTATTGTGCATAAACTGGACACATTTCTTACCAATCCCAAAAGAACTGCAACAGATTTTTTTGGTTCGGCCCCATGAGCTAGCCAGTATCTAAATCAGGCAAAAATTGTTTCACAGCAAATACAACAAATTTGACATAACATAGTCTGTGCCTCAACTGCCTGGAAAAAGACCAAAAGCCCTCCATGGTTGGGAGTGAAGGTTTGCAAATTGAACAGCCTCTTCACTCAAAATTTCAATCTTTTTCTTGTAGTTCAGACACCAATTATGCCTATGGCAAATGAACATCATCTTATAAATGTCATACTTACTTTATTCGCTCAATGTTCAGGGTGGCAACTTTCTCGTTGTGTTCATTTGGCATTGGGTCATACACACCAAGCTAGGAAAAAATGGGACAACTAAATTTCTACAACAAAACTAATTTTCAACTACACTCAAAAATCTTCTTTTCAACAATTACTACAGGCAATTTGTTTTTATACACCCTCCTGCTCCGATGTACTTGCAAAATTTCTGGGGCATTAATATTAGTTTGTATGGAAACTGTTATATGAAATTTGTAAAGGTAACCTAGCCGGGGGGGAGTTAATAAACACTATTTGGAAAGGGAATTATTATACAAAGTCTACAAAACCTCGTACAAAACACATGTTCAAAATATATGAAGCATACACTTCCCATACCTGTTCGTATATATATCTATTCCTAGCTGCTCTTCTTTTCCCTGCTACAATATGAAAAAACGGTCTATTTGGGCAGCCATAGAGAGCTAAACGCAAGACAACCGAAGGCTTTCGAACTCTCGCCATGACATTCACGATTCCGGGGGGAACGATGAATATTACTTTTTCAACATGGCGGATTCTTTAATATTATTTTAGGAATTTATATAATTGAAATATAATATAAACTAGACCGTATATTAATGTCGAAAGATAAAGGAGTAAAACTACCTACTTCAAAAAATATTGAGGTATACTTTTAAAACGATTAACTGCCTATTTTAATGGAAATTTAATTATTAAAAGTCTACAAAACCTAAAAATATACAATTTTGCAGATAAAATTGGATATTTTGAATAACGAAGAATTGCAGAAGGAACTAAAAGCTCTCAAAGACGTTTTTGCAGCGTCTTACGGTCCGACAGGACGGTAAAATATTTACAAATTTATATTATATAAATATTTTTTTCTGAATTTTACAGCCCAATGAGCTCTATGTCAATTACTCAATACTGGAGTGAGCACCGCCGTAACTTTGGACGTGATCTTTTTCTCTCATTTAGGACCAATTTTATCCAACATGTTTCTGGCGGTCATGTGACTGTTACGTCTAGCTCAAGTCAGATACTGAAGAGCATCACGACAGTATCAACCCCCCTGACTAGACTGCTTTTGCAGTCAGTTCAGGGGCACGTGAACCACTTCAATGATGGAGGACTCTTTACTGTTCTTTTGACAATACAGTAAGCATACTTGAGGCCCTTGAGCTGCAGTTAACACTTTTAGAATACACCCTTTATAATACGTACGAGTACGTCACTTTGGCATAGGACCTCGTTTTCATGTATGGAACATTGAACAAATGGGGATCCAATATCTTCCGACCTTCTTGTGAACGCAATCTAATTAGCTTTTCTCACGGTCGATTTTTCCGCCATTTTGGGGGTACTGCCCTATTGAGAGTCTCCGCACCACGAAATACAACTTTTCAGTATTGTAGTTGTTTGTATAATGGTAAATTTACAGTTACAACTTTTAAAAATCGCTTTTCACGTTGTTTGAATTATCTAGCCAGTCTAGGATCTTTCACGAGGGCAGACGCCAGACAGTACCCCCAAAATGGAGGATTTTTGCCTTCGTGAGAAAGGGTAATTAGCATCATTGACATTGACCTCAATCAGAATAGTATTCATTTCTTTCCATTTCCTTTAGACTGATAGAATCATCATTAAAATGTGGTCTCCCAAGGCATACAGTGATTGCAATAAACGAGCGTGCTCTTACTACGATCCTCACACAACTCGAGAGTTCAGATCTCCCGATCAAACTTTCAGCAGATCTCGGCAATATGAACCAAATGCTCGGTGTCATACGATCAATTCTCGTGACAAAACCTGCAACTGGATTGACCAGCAACGAACTACAATCATTGGCTGTCGTGTTGCTACGTGTAAGATATTGAGTAAAATTATTGTTTGACAGCAGACGGTCATGGTCAACTTGACAATATTGACACTAAAATGCGAGCAAAATATCGTAAACTTATTTGAATTTGCCTCCAAATACAAGTCAGAGACTACTACATATAATGAAAAGAGTTATTGAATTAACATCATTTTCTCACTCTGATAACTGCAGTGAAACCAACGTATTTTTAATGGCATTTTAATTCCGAATCATTTTCTAGGGATTTTTAAGCTGTATACCTACATCTAGAAACAAGATGGTGTCGTTGGATAATTTGAGAATTCAAGACTGTGAAGGACCGTCAGTCAGCGAATCGCGTTTGAAAAACGGAATTTTATTGGAGGCAAAATGTCATCCTGTTATTGAAACGATCTATGTATGTTGAAACTCTTTTTAAGAAAATAATGAAAACGTCTAACGACGTCGAGAAGTTCGGAAGCTAAAACAAACTTTATTAATATCAACTTTAACGCCCGTATTCTAAAAGCTCACTCACACTCAATGAGTGGAGGTTCAATCTGAGCTTTTCTTGAGTGTCAATGCTGTTTTTGAATAGCTGGAGGGTGAGTAGTCACATGGTAAGGTATGACACTAACCCTCCAGCTATTCAAAAACAGCATTGACACTCAAGAGAAGCTCAGATTGAATCTCCACTCATTGAGTGCGAGTGAGCTTTTAGAATACGGGCGTAACTGTTCTCTCTACAGGTCCAGTAAGGGCAATCTCTTATTGGCTCAGTGTTACAACGGAGAAAGAAAACCTATGGTGTTTGACAGCTAAAGTGCAAACACTTTACCCAGTGCACGAGAGATAAATCATGATAAGACAATTGTACATTGCAGGGATTAAATTATGGTCACAGATCTAGAGGTAGAAGGAACATGTACCAGCCAAAAATCCTGTGAAAATACTAAAAGAATATTTCATTCTAGGAAGGTAAAGATGGTATTAAAGTGGCGCTATTTGATTGCTCTCTTGCGGGCAATGTTAATGATGGATGGTTGGATAATACCAAGACAGAAATCTCAAACAACTTTCTCACAATAGAAGATAACGTTTTAACATCAATGATGAGAATGGTGGATAGCTTGATTGATCATGGAGTTAAACTTATAGCTTGCCAGAAAGTTATTCACCCAACCCTTCAACAATACATAACAAGAAAGGGCTTGTATGTTATCGAAAGGTTGTCAATTTGCCACATTGAAGCTGTGCAGAAACTGACTGCAGCTAGATTGTTAAGCTCTTTCCAAGGCAAGATGACTGAAGACAGTTTTGGTTTGCTTAACAAGATAAACCTATTGGTTATTCACAAGAAAAGGTAGTTGATTTTCACATGTACTATGAACTGCTCTGCCATAACCCTAACATTAGCCCTAAACCAAAGCGAACTCTGTTTCTGAGTTTAAATTCTAAACCATCTTGAAAACATCGTCCATCTCTTTTAGCCATTACCATCTGCGCCTGTGCTTTTGCCAATGATTGTATTTAAAGACTGATTTTCATTACACAACTTTTGCCTAAAACTGACGCATGCAACCTGCTTACAACTCGAGTTGTAAATCAAGCACACAATTCTCCTACGTTGTCGTAGTTGAGTGCTTGATTTACACAGTACAACTCAAGTTGTAAGCAGGCTACATGCGACAGTTTTAGGCAAAAGTTGTGTTGTGTAAAATCGTCCTTAACAGGACTAATACATCTTGTACTAACTCCTCCAGGTACATTCATTTAATCCCGAATTCAAGCACGCATCCCGAGATTTCCACGCTGATGTTGTGTGCCCCAGATGAACATGGTTTAGACGAACTAAAGTTACTTTGCTCGGCAGTTTTACAATCTTTGAAACAGCTCCTATATCAGCCATTCCTTGTTCCTGGTGCGGGATGCTTTGAAACCATCATTGCTGGTTTATTGATGCAAACTGCTCAAGAATTTGATGGTTTGCCAGAGCTAGATTGTTCCAAACGTAAGTGATGAAAACTTAGCCTTCTTAAGCCTTAGGAAAACAGGAAAAAGTACATAATGCAATGCTGTTAAGTGGTCTTCACAAAGTGCTCAGTCGCCTTGAATTAATCGTTTTTTGTTAATTTCTTTTAGAGCAATATTCGAGGGGACTTCACTCAATATCCTCAGTCTTTCTCCACATTGCCAGAACACTTGACCATGATGGTAATAATCATCTAGTTGACAGAACCACAATTCACCATTGGCTCACTCAACCACTGGCAACCAAGCTTACCACCCCTCAACACTGTCTGTGTGGCCTGGTAACTAGTCACCAGGACACTGAATGGTACATGACTGAAGAAATGTGTGGTATGCCTAGGGGTATTGATGTGCATAGGTCATCAACTGGGGATGTCAAGAACTTTGAGAATGTAGTACTTGATGTTATGAGCATGAAAGTGAATGGAATAAAGACAGCATTTGAAACGGCAAATACAATATTAAGAGTTAAACACTTTGTCAAAGAAATTTTTGAATAAATAGACTAAGATACTAGTTATATTGTTTGTATAGCTAGGTTCCACTATAAAGGATGGTTTACACTATCAAAGTTTCTGTGATTGCATTAAGAATTTTGCATTAGCTAAGTATTTTGCATAAGATTTTTTGAAGGATTTGTAAGAAATGTTTGAGAGAACTGACTCGGTGTTTAACACATTCCGTCACTAAGTTCATTCCTACTGTGATCATAAAAACTTTGAGATGGATAACTATGGAATTAAATTTATTAAAAAATATATACATACAGCATTTACAATAGGTTATTGGGTTGTGTTCATTATAAAAACATTTTCAACAGGCCTAGAAAATGCAAGTAAAATCAGTAAATTAGTACTGCTTAGTGACAACAGATTACTTTTCATCTGTAGTTTAAAAACTTCGTTGGTTTCAATATCACCACTCACCTATCATCGTCGTCAGTGGCAACAAGACCAATTCTTTTAACAACCTCCATACCTTCACTGACTCTCCCAAATATACTGTGTTTACCTGTAAGTCGAAGGGTTTCATAGATGGAAATTTCTGAATTAAACACATTTATTAAACACATTTATTAAACCTAACCAGCAGCAGTTGCAAAAATGCAACTACAAGCTAGCCCTTTATAGCTGGCAGGAATCGAATCTGCGCCCTTGTGATTTCAGTGCAGCACTCTAACCAACTGATCAAGCTACAGAGGTCAGTTGTCGAGCTCTAACCACAATTTATATAATTTACTTTCTAAATGTATGTGAAAACATAGTGGTAATGTTAGCATATATTCATCTTACCATCTAGCCATTGTGTTGGTGCTAAGGTGATAAAAAACTGGCTACCATTGGTATTTGGACCACTATGAAAAAGCAATTATAACATTAATTTATGTTGTCAACTTGATAAGCATGACTATGTTATTGACTAAGCATTATTCTAAATTCAAATGGCAAAAATGCAAGGACAAAAGAAGTAAATATTACCTGTTTGCCATTGATAATATTCCAGCACCTGTATGCTTTAGTTCTCTGGTAAGTTCATCTTCAAATGTAGGTCTAAAAACAATGAACTGACCAATTTCAATTTTGCTTAATATAAACTCTATGAGTTCTCCCTGGAGGTCCAGTGTAAAGACCATCTTGCAAAGTGAAACTCACAAGTGACATACGTGAAATTATGCAGGAAACATAGGAACTTGAACAAGAATTAAAGGTGCATGCACCTAGTTATACAAGTAAGTCATTTACCCATATATCGATGCTCCCCCTCGGCCTGTCCCAGTCGGATCACCACCTTGAATCATGAAATCCTAAACAAAGTATTTGTTTGGTTATTCAAACGTCCAAGCACTCATAACATGACGCAATATCATATACCTTTATAACTCGGTGAAATTTGATATTATTGTAATAACCTCGACGTGCCTAAATAGTAAAAATAAATTATGCGGGTGTCTGAAATACCTGGAAAGGTCTCAACATTTCAAAGAAGGAACTTCATTAGGATGTTTAGTCACCTTTATTAAAGGCTTGTTTGTGATTTTCTTCTTGTGATGCATGTGAACAAGTAGGTGAGTTATGAATGTTCTGAGTATACACAGGGCTGCAAATAAATATTTGACAAAAAACAAAATCACTAAATTTGGTCGGACATATATACGTCACAAGATATATATAAGTCACGAGACAAGTATGTATAGCCATTTCGGCGCAACGTTAAGTAAAATGCTAGAATGCCTCGTAAATTTTATTGCAAAATGCAAATTGAGTGAATTTGCAATTGGATTTTGTCAGAGCAAAAAAATGTATAATGTGACAATTTTTTTGTGATCTGACTAATGTCCGATCAAAATTACTTTTGCTCGGACATTTGCCAAATTTAGTCGGACATTGTCCGATGTCCGACAGTAATTTGCAGCCCTGATACATATACCCTCATTTGAACATTCGTAACTCATTCACATCTATCAGAAGAAAATAATTGTGCCTAAAACCGCATCAAAAACTGCAAGTGTAAATACTGACGAGGTGGGCTGCCCCCTCTCCCACCTCATGTACTATGCTTTAGTATATATCAATTAAGACTTAATATTATTATTTAGGACTTAATTTGGGACTTTATTAGTCCTGTTGTCTGTGCCTTCAATTTCTTATTGTAAAACTAATAAAAAAATAAATAAATAAAAAAAAATTATATAAAAATGTATTGCCTACCAAATCAGCAAAGTTTTTGCAAGTTCTAGGGGCATGTCGCCAGTATAACTCTATAGTTACATCGCCCTATGATCAAAGAACATTAAATAAATAAGAAATACACAATCAACAGAAAGAAACACGGATAAAACTTGTTGAATACCATGGTAGTTTTCAAAGTCACTTTTGCAGGCTTCGTCTCCATCTTGAACTTCTGAACGATGGTATTTTCATGCGGATTTCAGATGACCGAGGTTTTATTAGATTATTGGCTCAGAAAATGCGGGCAAGGGTTTGGGGGCTCCGTTTTGCAGGCTAGTTGAATTTGTCGCAAAATTAAGTGGGGCAAATTTTGTGAAGGAACTGATCCTTTAGTTTGAGAAATGTAATCCAAAATAAAAATTTCCTAAAAGATTTGAAGTTCTCGTCTCTGGGAAACTGCCGCTTCTAGCTAACATTCCATTCCAATCAATTCCAGAACTATGCTCTCAACCAATCAGATGCGTCGATCATCGATGGTCGAGGTTGCCATGACAACCGGATAAAACCAAAACAACAAAAATATGGCCAAAATGTATCGAAAAATCAGATAAAATCGATGTATTTTCGTTGTTTCTCTTCTCTAAGCCACACAATGCGACCCATGTAACGAGGAATTTATAAATTATTGATGTTTAAAAGGCGAGAAGCGTCTCGTATCTACGTAAAAAGCGTTCAAAAGCAACAATGCCCGTCGCTCAGACACGTTTGGAACAGCTTCAAGTGCTAAAATTACTCCAGTCAGTTCGTGCTGAGGATAAAACTCAAATTGAAAAGCTTGCTACAAATGGTATTCCTGATTTGATCAATTATTCAGGTAGGATACGCTTTCATCAGAAAAATATAGACTAAAATTTTCTGTATGATCAAGTTTGGACATTCTCGGTTAAGTATTAACTATATTAATTACTGATGTAGAGTGCGAGACTCTTAGTATAATATTATTCTGCCCTAGGAGATATTTTACACTTTACCATAATCGAGTGATCACCAAATACATTAATGTGCTGTCAAAAACATTAATAGTCAGGCATTCATTTGCGGGTGATGTCATCCAGTTTCGTAATCTCTTAACAAAAAACCCTAACATTCACACTAACCCCCACAATGAATGCAGATGAGGTAGTCAAACAGATAGTTACCGACAGATAGACACCATACACACAAGTTCATACAGCAAACTATCCCTTCAAGACAACATTATCCATTATTTGGGCTCAGCTCATAATTGTCTTAATTGTCTACATTACTAGAAGCAGAAAATGGTGACACTGCAATGCATATTGCGGCATGCAAGAATAATGATATCATGACATCATTCTTGTTGGACATGGGTGCCAACCCGAATGTTGTTAACCAACAAGGTCAGACGCCAGTCATGAGAGCTGCGGAGTATGGTCATGTTCAGTGTTTGCAAATACTGGCTGATGCTGGCTCAGATATGACAGGTACGTCCTGTAACAATCCAGGCAAAAATGTTCTGACACGTTTAGAATTGAAGGGCTCCCATCCCATCCCCACCCCTCACTTTGCTCTTGGACCTGTTTTCTAACAGATCACTGCTGTTGCTCCTTCAGTGCCCCACCCCACAATCAGTGCCCCACCCCACAATCAGTGCCCCACCCCACAATCAGTGCCCCACCCCCACTCCACGATCAGTGCCCCACTCCACAATCAGTGCCCCACCCACTCCACGATCAGT